CCACCACCGAATTGATCTTGTTCTAGAACAAATAATGCCATATATTCAGGTGGATTTATCTCATATGAACAATCAGTATGAAATACAAATTCATCATCAGTTTGTGAACGAGCTAATGATTGTTTTTGTATATTTGAATTAGTTTGAATTGGTTGAACATGCCAAACAAAAGAGTCGTTTTGTTCATTATGTGTCAAACATTGTCCACCGAGTTTTTCAATAATGTTAATGAAAAATTTCTCCATATTTGTAGGGAAATCATTGTCATTTGGTAAACGTTGATCAGAGAATTGAATACGAACATAACCATCATCGACAAGTGTTTTCTCAATTTCGAATATTCGGCTTGGATCATAATCATAACTTTTGAAATGAGAATCCATTACCTCAAAATAATAAATTACGTTTTCTAATCGATTGTAGCGTTGTTAGTGCCGAATTTATATACTTAAACCATTTTTAAAGGACATCTATTCGTCTGTATATTGTATTTAATTAAATGCAAATGTTTTTTCTTCTCACGAAGCGTCATATTCATATGCGTAAGTACTCATAAGTAAATATATTACTTCCATCACGTTTGTGAAATACCTAGTATGAAAGGCCTCCAATGAATGAATATATCGTCATGGACGACTTTTTACTGCATGGCATATTCCATATTTTATTCCAGAACTAAGAAGAGGAAGAGATTAAATATTCATGAGTCATATAGGAGTCATGAAAAATATTGACATTACGTTTATTATAGAAATGTTTCAACATACTTTATCAGAATTAATCTCGTCAAATTTGGTTAATATCTATACTGGAATTTTCCTATTTTTGTTTTTCAATTTCAATAAAAAATCCGTTGATTTTATTACATATCAAAGTACAATATTTTTTTAATTAATAAGAGAGAGTTAGTTATATAAAAGGATTAAATGATGATAGCGACAAATGATATGATAAAAGTAAATATAAATTATTATCAATTCATATATAAATCTCGATGGAACTCAACGAAAATAAACCAATATGTATAATGAATGAAAAGTACTGGGGAAAGAATAATCATATTTATTACACATCTCTCAAGCTAGTTCTTGAATTTCGTATATGTGCATATAATACGGCTCAGAAGAATGAGCTAGCCGAACGTGGAAAACGAAAAACTTTATTCTTTGGGTAATAAATGAGACAATAGAATTATAAAAGACGTTTATTTCTAAAATTTCCATCATTAGTTAACAAGTATATTGAGAAAAAAGCATTTTTATCAAAAGTACTATAATGTGAATGTTGCTTACTAAATTTCTAGTCGAAAGTAGAATGATTAGAAATTTATTTATCATTTTGAATGTAACCATGAGAGAGATTGTACCATAAAGTTAATAGTAGTGATTATGACTCGATCAGATTTATACACAGGAAAATGTATCGATATCATGAGTCGAAATTCATGAATATCGTTTGTTCAAGAACTTGCTACGAATGAATAAGTAATTCCATGAAATTTCTGGAATATCACGGAACCGGCCGTTCTCGTGACGGATTGTTCGATCTGGGTTTAGTAGCATAGTTTACACCAAAGAAAGAAGAATTTTATCAATTATCACCATGTATTAAGAGAAATTTTATGACATACCATTGTCGGATTAATGTTGTAACAGAAAAATTGATTTTAATTCCTCTTTGTCGATAGAAATTAATCAATATTCAACCGTATTTTGCTAGTTGGTATAATTGGCGCTTCCTAGTGTAGGGGGTAGAACCTGTTATATCGCAATGATATGGACAATAATAATGAAATTATACAAGAACGTCATCATCAAGTATCATTATGTTTATGTTATCCACTATCACCATACAAGATCAATGAACTCTAGTCTCTTCAAAAGGCATTTCTATGTGGTTTCAATTTATTCATTAATAAAACGCGTCAATTAAGTCACTGGTCATTTAGTCTAACATCAAGTTATTGATCATTATCACATAACGATCGATGGAAAATGACACGTTACGCTATACATGATGTTATGGCTGTGACATTTTTAATAAGACCGATAATGGAAAGATGGACATTCAATAAAATAAAAAATAGGATGAATAATGAAATATTTATTACATTTAATTTAAATACATTTCTATCTTTACCTACAGCTACATCATCAAAAAAAAATCAAAAGTATTACTGTATAGAAGTTATCGAATATACTTAGATGCATCGACTCTGACATTGAATCAATCTCATCGGATGAAGAAAGTTATTTGAACCAATTGCTTAGACAAGATAAAAATGCTTTTTCAAAAAGTGTTTATACTCAAAACTTTTTTTTCTAACGCGGTAGGGTGTTATGATATATATAATCTTGATATATCTATATTATTATTAATTCTTTCGCGTTCTCTTTCTTCTTGTTATTCTTATATGTTGTTAAATAAAATAAAAAAGATTCCGTTTGTTATGTTCTAACAAATATCGAACACGTTCATCTGTATATCTAACAATAGAACATAACATCAACCTCGATATTCAAGCGAAATCTGATTTGTATTTGGTCCGATGAAACTGAATTATGACATATTCACGGAATGTAGTCACAACGAGAATCATTCCGAAACAGGACACCTGAAGAATCGTCACCAATCTCTCAATAAATTGATAGTTCACACGAATTAGATCGTCTCACACCAAACCTTGAATTCGACGAAACGGGTTTGTGTGCTGCTGTGTTGTTTCACGCTGTCTTACACCAAGGTCGAAGCGCACAATTTAATCCTGCATCCGACCTAACTCAGAACCAGTCCACATCGGGAATAAAATCTGCTTCAGTACATGAAGAATTATTACAACACTTGCGCATTATCGATGGCTGTTACCAGTTCGAAAAGTTTCGACGAATTCTGAATAAAACGAAAACACGGTGTTTATTGAAACAATCAAAGTGTCGACATACATTGGACTAGTACAGTAGAATCGACGGTACAATTTATCGAATGTTCGATCGTTCGCACATCTCTTTAATCGATTCATGTATGTAGTTGGTATAATTTTTCTTTGTCTTGTGCTGCTTTTGTTGGTACTACTAATGCAAATCGGAATCGTACATTTGTCAACACATAATCTCCATTATTCTGAAGGAAAAATTTATGCTAACATGTGGGTATTCTTCGACAGAATACTTACAATTATGTGTTCTCAACATCATCTCACAAAAGTCGAAAACGCACATTAAAACAAGAGGAATTTCTTGAAATTTGGAATTTCTTTCAATATATGATATTACATGATTATCCACTACTACTCCGAACTCATTATTTGTATATTGACACTCGGTTTCACATAGATAATGATTTTTGCCTCCTTCTTCACATAAAATATTGGCAGAAAATCTCTGTAATTTTAATCTTTCGCTTCAAATATTTTCGGTAATACATTCTCGTCCTCATTTTCAATTTTACGTCTTCTATGAACATCACACAAATATTTTAATTTCCTTTTCTTCGTACAAACATTACTATTCGAGACATTTCAGGCCAAAATCATACTATTTGTCGTCTTCATATTTCCCTGATTGTCTGATCCCCTGATCAAATCTATCGAAGTTATAAATCATCGTCGTTTTCGCATTTTCTTATCGAATCATCAATTGGTTAAATATATCGATACCGTTCGTAACATTTTTTTAAAAGGCTTTCGATTTATTACGCGTCTTTCTCTTCTCCATTTTTTTTCTTTTCTTTTGATGTGCATTTTTTCGTGTTTGTTTCTTGCTCTTGTCTCTGTCGAATGTGTGTGGGAAGCCCAGTCAGACAACGAGTGAAAAACATGGCGTTTCTACGCGTCAAAATGTGCGCTTTTTACGCGATGAAAAAAAAAATTTTTTGAAAAGCAAAATGATGGAGATACTTTTTATTGTTAGCAACTCGACTTTTTCTACAAAAAAATTTTTATGCATAGAAACGCCGTATTTTTCGTTCTTTGTGTACCTGGGAAGGTGCTACAGTCATATCTTCATATATTCTTTCACATCATATCTCGTTTTTCGTTACTCCCATTTTTTGCTTCTTTTTTTTTTTTTTTGTTGTTTTTGTTCTTCATTCGAATACGATACAACGTGAAGAGAGGGTCCTCTCATACACAGGCTGAAATTTTGATAAAACAACTATAATTCGGAAAGAAAGACGTATTAGCTCTCATCCTTTTAGGATTTTACTAGTCTCACCAGGGTCTATTTATGCACAAAGTATCAGCTCAAAAGCGATGTATAAGTTGGTGACTCTTCCTCGTTAGTTATTTTATTTTCTTTCTAGATCTGCAACTATCTTTCCTATCCAAGATATAACTTGTCTATTCATTTGAAAATTTCATTTCATGGCTATTGAATCTGAAAAATAAATGTCATCAGTAGATTCAACAATTATTCGTATTGTTGATAATATAAAAAAAAGTGATAGTGACTCATGGAATTATCGTGGATTAGAACTTTCAAATGAGATGCTTGTTGTACTGATAAGTCATCCAAATATTGATAAAGCAGCTGCTGCACTTGATGTTTCAATCGGTAATTTAGCTGATCCAAGAGATGCTCCTGGTATTGCTCATTTTCTTGAACATATGCTTTTTATGGGTAGTTCGAAAGTAAATTTTTATTTATATTTCTTAATAATGCAAATAATCGTATGAAATATTTATAGTATCCAGGTGAAGATGAATATTCAAAACTGATAAAAGGAAATGGTGGCTATTTCAATGCTTTTACTAGTGGTGATCATACAAATTATTATTTTGATATTAATCCAAGTTTATTACCCGAAGCACTTGATATGTAAGTTTTATTAATATTTTCTTTACTTAATCAAATTAAATTTATCTATTTTAGTTTTGCACAATTTTTTATTTCACCACTTTTTTCTGCATCATCTATCGATCGAGAAATAGAAGCAGTTAATTCTGAATACGAAGGAAATTTATCCGACGATGGATGGCGTGTTTATCAATTAGAAAAATCGACATCAGATCCTCAACATCCCTATTCAGGATTTGCAATTGGTAATAGTCAATCATTAAGAACAACACCTAAACAACGTGGTATTGATATTCGACAAGTACTTTTGGATTTTCATAAAGCTGAATATTCATCAAATCGAATGAGTTTAGCTGTACTTGGCAATCGTATGTAATTAATCTATTAAAAATAAAATAAATATCAAATTAATTATTTAGAATCACTTGATGAACTTCAATCACTTGTTAAGAAAAGTTTTAATGATGTTCCAAATAAAAAATTAGAACGAGTCAAATATCCTGTGGATCCATATGGTGAAAGTAAACGAAAGGTTAGTTTTTATTTCAATAGGTTTCCAAACTTTCTTTTTTTATTTAATATTTTCTTCTTTAAGACAATTTGTTATGTTGTTCCTGTTAAAGAATATCGTTATTTAACAATAAATTGGGTTATACCTGATCATAAAGATGTATATTATTGTAATGTAAGTATAACACAGTTTATTATTTTATTTTAATCATTATTTGTTGAAGAATATCTCGATTTCATTCAGCCTGAATCATATCTTTCACACTTGATTGGACATGAAGGTGATGGTTCATTATTATCATATTTAAAAAAGGTGGGCCTTGCTACTGAATTGGTATCTGGAGAAAAAAATGCTGCACCTGGTTTTAATTTTTTTTATGTCTATTTAGAATTAACAATCGAAGGATTAGGTAAAAAAATCGATAGTTTTATTTAATAAATAAAAAAAACTTTTTCTTTGAAATTAGGTCGCTGGGAAGAAATTATTTATATTGTTTATCAATATATAGCTATGTTACGAAAAGAAGAACCCAAAAAATGGATTTTTAATGAATGCAAAGTAAGATAATGTTAATCAAAAAATGCATATGTTATACCTTTGTTTTGTATTTAGAATTTAAAAGCAATGCATTTTCAATTTCGTGAAAAAGAACCAGCAAATGATTTTGTCTCAAGTTTAGCGCGTCAAATGAGGGTACTTATAACTGATTGATAATCAATTTGTTTCTTTTTTGGCTTTTGATTTACCTTAAAGATCTTATTAGAAGAATTTCATCAGCATTGATGAACATAGAAAGATATGAAATCTAATTTATGTTCTATAAATACCAGCGAGTCTTGTTTGATTTTAACAAGAAACTCAATAGAAAAACATTTTTTTTGCATTGTTTGGAATTTGAGGATTCAAAATCATCATCTAAACAGTTCACTTCATTGTGCGAGCTCGCGCTCTGTTTTGTATCAGTTTGTTCAAATTACATGTGATCGATTCTAAAACTTCGGCTGGTTCCGTATATAAAAGGATAGAGAGATAAGAATAAACAGCAAAAGAGTAGAAATTTCGTTCTCTTATCTTTCATACACTATCTATAATGTATCAAAGAACGAGAAATTAACGTGAGAAATCCTTCACATAATCGTTAGAAATAACTAGTTGTATGATAACATAAGGAAAACAATAATGAATATTTGGTATGAGATAATAAAAGGGTCACTAAGAGCATTTATTAAAAGTTAACTTTCCATAGATGTGTATATTTCGAAGAAATTTTCTAAGAAAACTAAATGTGTTGAATCAAGTAACGGAAAATGTCCCGACAAGTACTTCTCTTCTGTTTTTGCTGACATATTTTCCAAAGAAAATATTATCTTAAAATTATTTATAACTACATAGATTGTTTAAATTTGTCTTTGAAATAAAAAATAATACAGGTCTTGTCCTTTCACTTAGTAAATATTTACTTGAAAGCTCTAGAGCTCGAATATTCCGAGAAAAGAAAAACCACTGTTCTAAACGTACTGATCTGAATAATCAGTTTTGTGATATTTAATTGTTTCATTTTCTTTTTCAGGATTATCCATTGACTGAATGTCTTTCTGGAGATTATGAAATGCGTGAATTTCGTCCAGATTTAATAATTGAAGAACTTAATGAATATTTAATTCCAAGTAAAATGCGGTAAATAAAGTAAAATATATTAATTTATAAAATTATTCCAGATTTTATTTAAGAGTATTTCTTGCAAGTAAAGAATTTACGTCGATTGCAACAGAAAAAGAAAAATGGTTTGGTACACAATATAAACAAGAACATTTACCTAAAGAACTTATTAAACGTTGTGAAAAACTTATTAATCCTAGTAGTACTAGCCGGGATCATTTTATGCCGTTCTCTTGTATACGTATACAGCGAAAGAAAAAGCCTCGTACTACCCGGGTTAAACGTAGTGAAAGACATAAACTTATTCCTGAACTTCATTTACCAAAACCAAACGAATTTATTCCAACTGATTTTCAATTATTTTCAAAAGAAAAACAGTCCGCACGATCACAACTACCAATAAAAATAAAAGTAAAATAAAAATATAGTCTTGAAATATTTATTTTTTGTATTTAAGGAAAATGAATTTTGTCGACTTTTTTATGGTGAAGATACATTTTATAGATTACCTAAAGCATATCTTTATTTTGAATTACGAAAGTAAGATTGAAATTGCTTATTTTATTTAAAAGTTAAATTTTGTGATATTAGTCCCTTGGGAAATATAGATCCCTTGCATTCTAATATGAATACACTTTATGTTGAATTAGTTAAAGACTCTTTAACTGAGATTGTTTATCCAGCCCAACTTGGTGGATTACATTATGAATTATCTGCTTTAAATTATGGTATACAGGTAAACTAATATTAATTTCTAGTAGAAAGCAAAAAAAGACATAAATATTTATTTTTGAGTTAACTGTGCATGGATTTAATCATAGAATCAAACAATTACTTGAAACGATTATTGATCGTATGGTTAATATTAAAGTTAATCCTCAACGATTTGAAATAATAAAAGAAAAAGCAATTGAATTAATAATTATTTAAAATTTATTGAAATATTTCTTTTGATAGGTTAAAGGATCGTTACAAAATTTTCATCGCGATGATCCTTATGAAATGGCACGTTATGGTGTTAGATATTTAATAGCTGAACACCAATGGGATAAAGATGAATTACTTAGTTGTATTGATAGTATGTTTAAAAACAAAAGAAAACAATAAGATTAAAATATTTTTCTTTACTTTTTAAAGGTATTACAGCACATGATCTAGATTCATTTATAATACGAATGTTAACTCGTTTTTTTACGAATTCATTAATGTATGGAAATTTAACAAAAGATGTAAGTAGAAACTGAGACTAATATCAATTTATTCAAATATTCAATCGTTTTTACGCAAAACTATAGAGCAAGATATATAATATCAAACTCATTTATCTCTACAAGAGTTACCGATGATAAATATACGATACGTGTTTTCGCGAACGAAAATAGTTGCCATAGAAGAAGCTTATATATGTTTTTTATTGAACTTTTACTTTAAATTTTCTTTCTAGCATGCACTTGAATATATGAATTTAATTGAACAAAAATTTCAAGAAAAACGTTTTTATCAACCACTTTTTCCCGGTATGTGGTTTAATCAACGTGGATTAATATTACCAGAAGGTGAATCCTATATATATTTGATTTTATAAGCATGTTACTTACTTTTATTATTAGGTTGTAATTATGCATATAAAATGCTTAATGATGCTCATAAAATATATGCTATTGAAATATATTTACAATGTTTTCAACAAACACTTGAAAATAATGCTTTACTTGAATTATTTAGTCATGTTGTTCATGAACGTTGCTTTGATCAATTAAGAACAAAAGAACAATTAGGTTATATTGTTAGTTCTGGTGCATGTCGTTCACTTGGTGGTGTACAAGGTTTTGCAGTTATTGTACAATCAGCTAGAAAACTTGATCATGTTAATCAACGTATTGAAATATTTATTGATTCGATAAGAGTACGTAGAAAATAAATAACGAAACATATTCTAAATATCATACAGGAGAAGTTCTGAAACAAACTACGACAAAGTCACACTTCTGTAATATTTTTTATGGTTTGTATCTTATTACATGTAGCATTAATGCATGTTTCATGACCTGAGCCGCTTACAAATATGTGTGATGTTTAAAAAAGAACCAAATGTTTTTTTATTCATATGATGAATTATTTGATTAAACCAGTGAATGTTATTTGTCGTTGATCGTCTGAAATAGACATAGCTTTGAGTAATTTAATTGACAATATAACTTGCTAATGAATACTTTTAGGTCTACTTTTGTATGAAAACTAATATGTAACGCTTGTTTTATGCTGATTATTTGACACTAAAAAAAAATCAATATTTATTTTTTACTCTCCGAATATAAGTTAATATCGACCTTTTGTTATGTATCTTCCTAATGTGATATTATTAAAGATAATTTTATTCCGATGTTTTTATATTTGACGATTGAATTGATTTTCAAAAAGAAATTCTTTAAAGAAAGTTACATAAAATCTTTTATTTTAATAGGATTATATTTTGAATATGCCTGATGATGTATTTAAAAAACAACGCGAAGGTTATATGGTTAAAAAAGTCGAAATTCCAAAGAAAATGCATAGTCAAGGAAATGATTTTTGGAATGAAATAACCAGTCATCAATTTTGTTTCGATCGACGTAAGTTATAAAAAAAATTTTATTTATTTTTTTTTAAATATCAACAAAATTTATTTAGCTCAACTTGAAGTTGAAATAATAAAATCTTTGGAACGTACTGATTTACTTCGTTTTTATGATCATTATATATCATTAAATTCTATACATCGTCGTAAATTATCTGTTCATGTTAATCCATCTGCAATAGCATTACAAGGAACAGATGATAAAAAAACTATTATTAACGAAGAAAATGAATTAGTAGCTATTACTAATGAAGAAAATACTGAAACAATAATTGCAGAAGCTGTTGAACATACAGTTAAATTAACTAAACAACCGCTTATTATCGATACAATAACTGATAAAGATTCTAAAGAAAAAGAAAATATTATATCTGAAAAACAAATTAATTTACCAAAAGTAAATCAGTTATTAATTAATATTTGTTGAAATATTTGTTTGTTCCTAGGAAGAATGGATTGACAATGTTCATGTATGGAAAAGTAAATTGTTATGTTATCCACTTGCTCCATCGTATGAAAAAATTGACATACCAGTTCTCTATAAATTATAAACAGAATTTTTATAATCATCATGTTTCTTTTTAAAATCTTGCTTTACTTTTAAATATTTATTCGTCTAATCAAGATTTACTATGTAAAATAAATATTTTTCTTAAATCATTTATATAATTTATTTGATTATTTTTAGGGTGTGTGTGTGGGTAAGAGACTGTGACTGCAGGTATGGGTGTGAGAGTATTAGCATTAAAGCACTCACACCCACACCCACACCTGGTACCATCATCTTTTATCTCACGGTTCAGATTCCGGTTTCGGGTAGCAGAAATTGAAAATCTCCGGTTCCGGTTCGGTTTTCGGTTCTATTTTTTTCGGAACCACAGGGCTCTAAGGGGGGGGCGTCGCTCCAATAGCTGGATACACCAATTAATGTTGAAATGCACTATTGTAAAAAATGAACTTGTCAGAAAATCATTTTATGATAGAAATTACTGGAGATTGATACTCTTTCAAACCAAATTTTTGTTTTTGTTGATAAAAATGAGTTTCTTTCGTCAGATGACACCAAACTACGGTAGTTGTTTAAACGGAGCTATATATATGTGATTCGAACTACTAAAAAACCACCGATTCATCGACGATATTTACAGGTTTTGGATGGTTTACCACGATTATCTAGTGGTTGTCCGATAGTTTTAAAAGATTCTCTTTCTCTATCTCTCTCTCTCTCTCATCGATATGCAGTACTTGCCACTAATTCAGTTATATTGCAAGAAGTTTCCAATAATGTTTTATTAATTTCTTATGCGATTTTCCCAGAAAAAGGTTCACGAAATATAACAAAAAACAGTTTTACGAGAAGATTTAACAAGAAAGTTCAACAATGAACTCGAAGGTTTCTGAAAATAACAATGACTAGAGATGCTTGAGAACAATATGCCAATCGTCAATAGAAAACAACTTTCATACAAGGGTATGGGTGAGGGTGAGAGTGACGAGATATATTACACCCACATTCTCATCTTCCTCTTGAACATTAATATAATTATTTATTGTTCTGATATGATTTTTAGTTCGTTTATTTCAAGTTACAATCGTCCAAAAAAACATCAACATTATTAAGTTAAATCAATTTCGAAAGCTTTTCTAACTATGCAATATATTAGTCATCTATTTACCTTTTTTTTCCCTTCAATTTATAGACTATATCCGAGTAATCTTCTCCATTAACCTTTTCATAAAAGATCTCGAAAACTCTTCTCGTTGACATTCACATTTTATTATTAAGCTAGCACTGATTTATAATACTTTTTTCATACTAGCAACTTATATGTGGATGTTCACATCTACCATCTTGACGATGAGGGTATGAGTATGGATGTGAATATAAATATATCTGCTAGCGAACAGATACAAATATTTGTTTGCTATTCTTTCACATGTATAATCATATGATATTCTCTTCTTTTCTTTTACATATATGACCATGAGCTATTTCCAAGTTGCAAACAAAAGATATGACATTGCTCTTCTCCTAGAATATGTTATATTGCGTAGGTGAAAACAATTGAAAACGTCACCACCTCTCATCATATAAATAGTTGTATTCTATTATCAATAAAGTGGTCCTTTCTTAACGTTCAGAAAAATAATCATATTCTCCTTTACTTATCAGTAGTTCTGCAACATACAGTCACGTATCAAGAAAAACACTCGTTAAATTACATTAAAGGGTAGATGACAAAAAGTATTTAAATATAAAAATATTTAACATATTCGAGAAGATCTGAAATCTCTCATTGTATGATTTGGTTTGTCTATATTTATTTTGATGGTGAATAGTATTGTGGTAGTATTAATATACAATTCACTTTTTGTTTCAGTTTGTTAATAATTAGTTTACATAATAAATAATATGGCCGAATTTTGTGATGATATTTTATTTAACCTTGAAAAGTGTAAGTGTAAAAATAATTATTGACATAAGTATCATAAAAAATAGAATATCAATCAAAATATATTGCACATTTTGTTTTTAATAGTTTTTCATTTTTTATCTTAATTTTTCTTGATCAGATTTGAATATCGAACATTAAAAGAGAAGATGGAAGAACTAGATTGTTTCTTATTATAAAATCACACATGTTTATCGATTATGATTAATATCATTAAGGTAAATATTTAATAAAAGAAAACAATTCATTTCTATTACTTGTCATTGACATACTTTTTCTGTTTATCATTGTGAATAATACTGTCTTATTTGAATACTAAGTATTTGTAAGTAAATATGATCATTCCTCTGTATTTTCACATGCATTCTCACTATTTTAGAATTGTCAATATCATCGATGACTCTCTTTGCATTCAACATAACTATGGTAGCAACAGGTGTTCTTTCACTAATCAATCTCTACTTACCTAATATGACGACAACAACATGTAAGTTTTCAAAATTAATATTTATCAAGAGTATATCTTCGAATAATCTTATATCGAGCGAAATGTTGTTTTTGTACTCTGTCATTATCACACAGTATGAATTAGATTTTACATTTATTTCCTTTTTTTAGCAAACATATGTGAAATATCATTTGCACCGATGATTTCGCTAGTTACTGGTCTAGAACCTATGGCTGTGAAGACTGCTGATTTGAATAATGATAGTTTTTTAGATCTGGTTGTTGCTAATCGTGCCGGTAATACAACAAGTGTATTTTTTGGATATGGAAATGGGTGTTTTGCACAGCGTATAGACCTTTCGACTGGACCTAACGCTGGAACATATGCAATTGCTATTGGCGATGTTAATAAAGATAACCAATTGGATATTGTTGTTGTTAATAGACATGCTAGTAATATTGGAGTATTTCTTGGACAAGGTGATAAAAAATTTTCGAAACAAAAAACATTTTCTACAGGAACCAACTCTACTCCTGCAGAACTGGCTCTTCATGACTTGAACAATGATACTTTTTTAGATCTTGTAGTTAGTGATCATGAATATGATCGTGTCTTTGTATTTCTTGGAACTGGCGATGGCGAATTCATACGAACACGTGATCTTTCAACTGGAAATTCTTCAGGACCGTATTTAATTCTTATTAATGATTTTAATAACGATAATCTACTTGACATTGCTATTGGTAATGGTGATGTTAACAACGTAGGTGTCTTTCTTGGTGATGGCAAAGGAAACTTTTCACAACAGATTACAACCTATATCAAGTCTGGTCCATATGCATTTGTTGCTGTTGATTTTAATAAAGATGGTATATTAGATATAGCAACTGCGAACTATGATTCAAATAATACCAGCATACTTTTTGGGAAGGGTGACGGAACTTTTACACTACAAAATACTTTTTCTACTGGTGATGGATCATTACCGTATGCAGTTACTAATGGTGATTTTAATAGGGATAATATGGACGATCTTATCATTGCAAATTCTGGCACAGATAACGTCGGTATATTAGTCGGAACTAGTGATGGTACATTTCGAAAACAAAAGACTTATTCGACTGGTAGAGGTTCGAATGCAGTTGAAATCACGATTGGAGATTTTAATAGAGATAATCAGTTAGATTTTGTCTCTGTAAATTTAAATAATAATACAATCGGTATTTTTTTAAGTACATGTTCATACAACTGACGTTCATTTCAATTTATTAAATAGACTTGTCTCGACGACTATTTTTGACACTATGTGACATTTGAATTCATATATACTCTGCCATATTATTTTTTTTATTACATTGAATACATAGATTTTTGAATATAGAATAATGAATAATTTTATTGTCAAGAAAAATGCTTTTATTCTCTAGTTTTAAAACAAATTGTCATATAAGATCATTCATTTACAACTTGCACTATATTCCTAGCAAATGACAATATAGAAAAAGAATGAGAAATAAGTTCAACATTTTTTTGACAAATAATTGCGATCTATATATCATGAGTACAGATTTAGACAGGTTCTCTTGTATTTAATTTTGGTTATCTTTCAAATAAAAACACAATAATAATCACAATTATTAGAAATCTGAGCGACATATCAATATATTTTGAGTGTCACAATAAAGTGCCAAACTTGTATGTTCTCAACTTAAGAAGATAAAAGATGTTCGAAATGGTTCTCTTTAATGACAATATGTACGAGTCACATGGATAGATGATTTGAAAAATTTTCTACAGATTAAGATTAATTATAATGAAAGAGCTGGACGATAAGACTATTTATTAGTTCTACATGGAAAAATCTTTTTTTAATTAAAAATCAAAAATTATTAGAAAAAGTTAGTCCGATCTCTCGTAAGTAGAATCTTCTCGGACTATGACCTGCTGATCGCTTGATGTTTATTTTTTGTCGGTTTTAACCAACTTTTTAGAAACTCGAAATGTCTGAAGTCTATAGTTATATATGAACAATCAACAACTCAACTGAATATTTAAAGATAAATGGTTTCATATGTTTATCTGAATTATGTAAAATATCTGAATCTTCTCCTCATTTACATACACTCATATAGTGAATTTCATTTCAACGTATCAAATGGAAGATTATGCTTCAGCAATTTTTTTACAAATAATATCACTAACTATACAGATATCTTATTGAGATGTGACTCTTGATTGATTTCATTTATTTTTGTTATCAACATCAGTACTTGTTTATTTGAAATTAGTTGATAGTGAAATGATGATGAATGGCAAACGATGGGATGAATTTATTCAAAGCAATCTATATCAATCGATGGCGGCGAAGCGTAGAGGCTCATGAGACTTCAGTCTCACTTAGTTTTCAGCCCTTGAGGCTTAGTCTCACTTATTTTCGGATTGAATATTATCTTTTATTATTAGAATTTGTTGAGAGTGTGGGTGGGTGTGGGTGTCAGGGTATGGATGTGAGATAT